TACTCAAAAGTTTTGGCCAGGGCTATATATTTGACTAGTGTGAAATATATCATATAAATGAAAGGTACATTTTATTCTCCATGAAAATGCCTGGAGCTAATAAAGAATTGTTGTGTAACAACGTTCACAGTTATATGTTTGGGTTTTTTTTTTTTTTTTTTTTTTTTTTTGAGTTATAAATGTTAAGTGATAGTTTCAATGACCTCACCGAGGACATAACTGCAATTATTTTCACTTACCTTAATTCTAACTTCATGAGCTTTTAGGTGGAGCTACAGTTATTGTTTCAATGATCAGAGGTTTATTAGGCTCCCAGGCAACAGCTGCCCGACATGTTATATCCTGAGAAGAAGAGCATATAATATTAGATTGCTATTCATATGAAAATATAATGAAATAAATAATTTTGTGTAGTGTGAATATTCCTAATGTAAGTATTGAATTCCTAACTATTTTCAATATAGACTCCAAAAAAGGATTTTCTAAAATCTTTATAGCAGAACTCCAGCTAAAAATAACTAGATACACTGTAGGGTGTGATAGCCCATTAAAAGATAACTGAACACAACCAGCTTTTGCTGCCATTTTCACCTTACCTCTACCTGAAGTTCAGCTTTAATTAGTTGCCAGCGATGATTTCTTAGCTCCATGACAGCAGCAGGCTTCAACAGCTAGGGAGAATCTTTACATCAGGGGTGCTCAACCCATGGCCCGTGGGCCTGAACTCTTTAATATGGTCCATAACCTCATCCTCTGGAATGGCGGGTCAGCAAGCCCAGATCGCTATTAACGGGTTTCTGACACTCCATCAGTGCATAGAACTCCCAAAGCATCAGAGTACATAGAGCTGGCGCCAGCAGCAGAGGAAGCAAGCGGCTGCAGAAAGAGCAGGAACCACATAAGCCGATGCTTCCTCTGTAGCACCTGCTCCTGTCCCAGGTGGAGTGATACCAAGTGCACTTCGCCTAGGACCTTTCTAGTAGCCTGGAGAGCAATGCCAGAAGAAGCTGGAAGTGGAAAAGTTCAGTTTATGAAACATCACATAGTTTTGCAATGGGCATATTAGCACTTTTAACAAAGGGTTATAATTCTGATTTCACACCGATCTGCAAGTGCAGCGCAGTGCACCTGCAGCTTTCCTGCAGGTTAGTTGCACTGAGCCATAAACTTCTATTATATCCTATGGGTTTGGTGTACTTTCTGAAAGTGCACCAAAAATCAGGAGGTTTCGTGAGCTTTCAGAAAGTGCCCCACACCTCTAAGATACAATAGAAGTCTATGGCAAAGCACAGTTAACCTGCAGGAAAGCCTTAGGTGCACTGCACTGCACTCACAGTGTGGGTAAGCCGCAGCGTATCAGTGAGAAAGCAGACTTATAGGAAACTCAGGACAATAAGGTCTCATTTACATTTGAAATTTGGGGGGCAGTAAAACCCCATGTTGTTTTACCCTGCCCCATGCTCCAGGGGTCCTGTGAGGCCTCCCTGTCACATTCTGTTTTATAGTTGGACAGGAGGGTAGCATATATAGGAACCTATCCTGGTCATTTTTCTTCTACAACTGCTGAAACCCAGATTATCTTCCTTTCCCTCTCACTGCCATTCAGTGGCTGCAGAAGGAAAATGTTCATTATGTTATTCAAAATAAAAAAATTTGAAATTCTGAAACCATTTAATTTTATTGTGGCCAGTGACCGGTTACCAAAATCACTTAAGTGGCCCTAGCTTTTCAATAGGTTGAGCACTCCTGCTTTACATCTTACAGGAAACCTGTAATATGACAAAAAAAACAAAGGCCACAAATACAGACCTATTTCCCTATAATGCCAGTTGCCTGGAAAGCATGATGATCAGCTGGTTTTCGAAATTTCAGAAACACTGATTTAGAAAAAGCATGCATATAAGGAGTTGTAATCTCTCTGGCAGCATGTATATTCTGGTTTAGTGACTTAGAAGGTATAGAAGCCACTGCCTCCCCAGTCCAGAGACACTAGCGTTGATTTACTAAAGGCAAATAGGCTGTTCACCTTACATGGGAATTTGCCCCAATGCTTAGTGAATGAGGTGAAGTTTCACTTTGCAAAGAATACAAAATCACATGCAAGGAGAACAGCAGTTTACTTACACATGATTGGATGAAGGAAGACAGCAGAGCTTCACCTCATTCACTAAGCTCTGGGGAACATTTCCATGAAACGTGCAAGTTCCCTTGCAAAGTGAACAGTCTATCTGTCTTTAGTAAATCATCGCCTCTGTATTTACAGAAATTCAGTGGTCTAAATGTCCCCTCTTATTCATGGAATAGATATTTTAAAGTATGACAATAATAGTTTTAGTAGTAGTTATAATAAATACTACAATTTAGAATGTAACTACAAGCTACTAATAAAATCAACTAGAAGTAAAAAACAATATTTGTTTTCCACTAAATAATTATTCTTTATAATAATAAAAATAATAATTTGCACCTTTTTAGAAAGCAGAGTTACAGCTATAGATGTGTATTATATTGTTCTTTTAGATTTGTTATAAAGATTGCAGCAAATTGCACACATCTACAATAAAACGAAGTAGAACAGCAAACCAAGCCAAACTATATTGAAACAATATATGTATAAAGCAATAGGTTTTCTGCTTTAGTGTTTTTTAATTGCTGCGTGCAATAGAAGGGATTCACCAAGTTTTCTTAACAATACTTGATGATGCACACAGCAGAGTATACTACAGAAATAAGAAAAGTACAATTTTCTACATCTGTGCTGAGATTTATTAGTCTGCATATAGACTAGAGATTCCATAAAAACAGTAGGAAAAAAAATCCCCAATATGTAGACATACGGCGTATAACCAGAGAATTCTACATGTTTAAAAAACTTTAAAGGACACAACAAGACTGGAAACAAATCATTGCAAATACTGATACAGAAATAAACCTAAATGCAATGCTATTTAGAGCAAATGGCTAAGCAGAAAAGAATTCCAAACAAACTATGTTTAGGCTCATTTATATATAAACAATACTTTTCCTGCAGTGCTCATCTTGATGGAAATAGGAACACGTCTTCTCCCTGGTTTTCAGTGCTTTTCTTCCTTCTGGCGTTTCCCTTTGCGTGAACGACAAAATGAGAGTATTTATTTTTTTTGCCACTTTGCCCTGTTACTGTGCCCTAGCCTGTCCTGGCCAACTTGACAAAGCTGGGATTTTGGCAGCTGCCAACTCTGCAAGTTATCCGATTCTGTGCACAAATAGCTTGAAATCCAAGGGCTAATTCAAACCAGGTGTGGTGGGACTGTGTTGGGCAACTATTCCAGCACAGTCCTACCTTAAGACAAGGCAAAATGCCATGTCTCCTATCTGCCTGATTTACACCACTGGCATGCTGAAAAGAGTGCATGCGGTACTTTTTTTCAATGCAATACATACTATCCAGTTATATTCTGTGTATCTAAGAGAGAATCCAGGCCTTTTTTGAAGCAATCCGCAGAGCTGGCCAGAACCAACTCTTGAGGCAGTCTATTCCACATTTGCACAGCTCTCACTGTGAAGAAAACCTTTCCGTGTTTGGAGATTAAATTTCTTTCCCTCCAGACGTAAAGAGTGCCCCCTTGTCCTCTGTGATGATCTCAGGATGAATAGCCCTACACTGAGTTCACTATATGAACCACTGATGTATATATACATGATGATCATATCCACCCTTAATCTCCTCTTCTCAAGAGAGAATAAATTCAGTTCCTCTAATCTTTCCCCATAGCTGATCTCCTCCATGGCTCGTATCAGTTTGGTTGCCCTTCTCTGTACTTCCGTCCCAGTTCCCCAATTTTCTTTTTGTGAATTGGTGACCAAAACTGAACTGCATATTCCAGATGAGGTCTTACTAATGATTTGTACAGGGTAATATGATATCTCTCTCTAGAGTCTATACCTCTTTTAATACAAGAGAGGATTTTGCTTGCTTTAGAAACCACAGCTTGGCATTGCATGCCATTATTAAGCTTGTGATCTACCAGAACTCCCAGATCCTTCTCCTCCATTGATTCCCCCAGTTGTACCCCCCCTAGTATGTATGTGATACATGCATATTCTTAGCCCCCAAGTGCATAACCTGACATTTATCAACATTAAACCTCATTTGCCACATAGTTGCCCAATTAAACAGTGCATTGAGGTCGGCTTGTAAGTTGGAGACATCCTGTAAGGACGTTATTCCACTGCACAGCTTGGTGTCATCTGCAAAGACTTAAAGAGTGCAAAGCAACATACCATGGTGACCAAATTAACTTACTGAAATGTCTGCATGACATTTCAATAAAGTCCGTTTAAAAAAAAAAAAAAAGTGAACCATAAAATCTGTGCATCAGAACCGTGGTGATCCCCCTGAACCAAACCACAAACCAGCCACTGTGTTGTAATGCAGTAGCTGGTGTGAATTAGCCCACAGGCTTCCAGGGATATTCACACCTCCCCCCCCCCCCATGGTTTTTCATTGAAAACAATGGAAATGCATTAAAAAATCAGGTGGATGTTAACATAATTTTTTGGAATGTGACCTGCAATTTGTGTTGAATTTAGTACGCTTCTTAATGCATATCGGTGCATGTTCATGCACTTGGTGCTGCTTTGACAAGTGTCATGATATGTGTTAAGATGTATTGATGTGCATTAATGCGTATCCATTTTTAAACATAATTTATTTTCAGAAGCAGAGACCCTCGAGAATAAGATATTGGCAAGTCCAATTGTTTATGTCACACAATATTTGTGCAACCATTTATCGATCACACAAAATTTCAGTACAAAAATACATTTAAATGTTACTAAACCCAGGACCCTGCATTCACACCATCTGGTCTCCCACAGTACACAGAACATGGAAATGCAATTAATTGAGTAAATATAAACTGCTTAATACCTTTTCTCATCAGCAGTTAGAGCAGTCTTGTGACTTTTACCAGAGTTCAGCAGAGCACTGGTTAAAGCTTGTAGGAGGAGTTTTCTTTCTGCTCTAGGAGGATGCAAAACCCCTGACCTCTGTCTGGACAGTGCTGATTGGCCCTGTGCTGATCACATGCACTCTTCCAAGAAAAGAATAAAAACCTCTCTAGCAATGCACACTAAAACTGAGCATGTGCAGAATGGCTACGGTTCAGTCTGTCTTATCAGGAGATAAGACATGGACATTTGAACAAGAGGAGGAGTAGAGAAGTCAGGATCAAATGGCCTTTTTACACAATGCAGAGGATTAACTCCTTAGGTTCCACAGTGAGTATAACAAGCATGCTTTACTGCATATACAGACTAATTTTACTGTTGTGGGTTTAGTAACACTTTAAGCTAATTTTTGGGCAAAACAAACTCTACAATATATGGCCCATTTTTTGTTAATGTAAAAAATATGAGGTTGCACCAAGTAAATGAGGTTTGCACCAAGCTTTAAATTTGCGAGTGCCTGCAAAATTACAACAAATTTCGGTACCTTATATCTTCCATAGGCAATGATTTTAAAAACAATGTAAGTAATTGGGGCAGAGAGAAGACAATGGCACCACAACACCGCAATAAATATTAAATGAAAAAGGTTATAAACGTGAAATATAATCTTTTTAAAACAAGTCCATAGAGTCCATGATTATGCACTAAAGGTAGCAGCTCCCCATAGAGTGAAGCAGGCTTTGTGGAAATATAAGAAAAACACAAGGGGGGGGGTGGTGCCAACATAAGTGCAGTATGTATTACAAGTTTATTTGGAATACTGTTTAATAGCCAAATAGCTACTCACAAGTAAAAAGGGTATACAGGTGTTGGATCGTGTCCTCAAAAGGGCCAGTGCAAAGGCCGGTAATCTCTGATATTGCCTGGGTCCCAGGAGTGGAATGTGGATGTAAGCTGTCAGAGAGGAAACGCCATGACTGGCGCCGTAGCCAGCGTGGAATACACAGAAGTCCGGACCAGGAGGGACGACCAATGGGGAAATTCTTGATTGTGCAGCCCTGGAAGTAAAGGAGAGGGGCGAGGGGATACTATAGGTAGATTAAACATTTTGCAAATTACCTCAACAGCAGCACCAATCATCAGGTGCGATTTCAAGGATCTATACTATTGGATTTTAGTGTCCAGGGGAGAGCGGACAGTACAATTGAATCTTTCTCAAACTGTACCCATAATTTAGTTGTGGCATTAGAACACCAAGTTACCACCTTGTAGACACCTGGTAGTATAGTACTAGGTTGAGAAGCCCTATGCCGCCACATTGTTTAGGAAGAGTAAGTAAGGCTAAACACAATCTGGCAGCTTATTTTTCCAGACATAAATGGATAGCATGGATAGTATATGTACAGAAATGATTGGTGCATTTTGATAGGTATTGCAAAAGGTACATCATTTGTGGTAACATTGTCATTTTAAGGATGTTACTGTGCCCAAATCAGGTAAGGGACAGTAATTGTCCTTTGTGCAGTGTCCAGTCAGCATGGATCTTGGCCAATAATTGGCTAAAATTAGCCTCATATAGTTTGGAGGGGTCAGGAGTGATATAGGTGTCCAGATACCTAAGGCAAGAAGAGGACCAGTGTAAGGGATATACTTGTTTCAATGTAGCCACACACTACCTGGTGGGATGGTAACACTGAGGGGCTCAGATTTGGTATAGTTTATCTAGAAGCTGAACAGATCTATGTATTGTTGGACGAGATCTAAAAGAGATGGAATCACAGGTTCAGATTAGAGATAAATAACAAGAGATCATCAGCCTAGACTGAGCTATTTTGTGCTCTGTCTGTGACAGTCTCAACCCTTGTATCAGTGAGTTGGAACCTTATTTGACATAGGAAGGTCTCTAAAGTTAAGATAAACATCAAGGGGCAACCCTGTCATGTTCTTTTGGAGGGGGGGAAGTATGAAGAGCAGGTCTCATTATTCCTTACTGCCACTTGTGGAAAAGCATACAGGGCTGCTATCTAAGCAGCATATGTTGCCCCAATCCATAAAGTGTATTGACTTCAGCCCAATCACCTATGAAAGTGCATGAGAGGTAAGAGCAGGCAACATGAATAATATCAATGACCCTCATGATGTTTTCCCTAGCTTCCCATTGTTGGATCATCACACAAATCACACTTGGTCCTAGTGAATCAGCTGGGGGATATAGGGGAGTATCCAAATAGCCAATATTTTTGGAGAAGAGCTTTATATCAACGTTTAAAAGTACTGTTGGCCTGTAGTTGCTACATTGGGTAAAAATCTTTTTCTGGATTTGGAATAATGGCAATATTTGCTTGGAGCATATTCAGGAGGGGGATTATTTCCAGAGATGATTGAAATATATGCACCAAGAAAAAATGGGGTTAGGATTCCCAGGAAGGATTTATAATAACTTATAGGTAGGCCATCTTGGCCTTCATTGTAGGAGAGCTCTCAAGCTCTTCCCTAGCTTGTATATGGAGCATTGGCATACCCAAAGAGTTGATAAATGAGGGAAATTAGATCAGAGTGGAAGGTTGAGGGAGATGCATTGGGACCCCCAAGTTTATAAGGTTTTGGTAAAATGTTTGAAAAGACTGGGCAGAATCCATGACCTTGGTGCCATCAGAGGCAGGCATGTGTGACATGTAAGTCCTCAATTATGGGTCTCACAAGGCTCTTGCCAAGAGAGTCCCTCCGTAATTTGCATTTAGTATCATTGTACAGCAGTGTCTTTCCCTGAGTGCCTGAAGTTCCTGTTGTGCTGAGAAGGCAAGAGACTATTTTCGATGTTTTCCAATTGTTTTATCTGCAAATATAGGGCATTACATTGGGAATTACATTTCCTTTTCAATCTGGCACCACATTTCAAAAAAACTGCCCCATATGGTGTGCATGCCATATGATGAGACACAACTAGTGTTGTGGGAGTTGTTCAATTGGAAAAAAGAGGTTAAGGACTGAGATACCTTGGCCATAGTGTAGGAGTGCCTCATTTAACCTCCAAAAAAGCACTTTATGGGACTTAATGGATAGGTCCAGCAGGAAGTGTACAGGAGTGTGATCCAACAGGAGGACTGGATAGATCACCGTGGAGCAGACCCTATATTGATCTTCATGTGAGATGAAAAAGTAATCTATCCTAGAATACATTCCATGAACGAAGGAGAATAATGAGTAGTCTCTTTCATTAAGTTGCGTAATTTTCCAAATGTCCACTAACTCAATCAAGTGTAGTTTGGCTTTTAGTTTTTTCAAGTAAGAGTATGAAAAGTTGATGCACCCCTCGGGATACGTCATGCAGTAGACCTTAAAGTCCCCCCTAGTATCAAGAAATCTTCTTACTCATTTCTGTTGATGGTGAAAAACTACTGAGTAAAAAAAGCTATAGTGCATACTACACAGAGTGTACCACAGTGTAAATGTGTGAAACATGGCATGCATGCACAGAAGTGCAGGTTTTAACCATAGCAAGTGCACTTACATTATTCCATATGTGGCTTCTAGTAACTGCAATGATAAATACCTGCCTTACTTGCTCCAATATCACAGTGTATAGTTCTATTGGAACTGCTCCTTTGACATATTGTGTTGTATGCACATTTCATGCATGGAAGAGCGATCCCAATGCTTGTCACACAATTTTTCTTTTAATATGTATGCTCACTAAATATTCTTAATACCCTCCTTTACGTTTTTGAATTGCATCTTGATGATTCTTTTCTGCAGGTGTCACAATTATGTATGTTACATGTGACCAAAGACCATATACATCTGGGAAGGCTGCTATATGAAGAGAGCTAGATACTTCCTTTTTGAATAGCCTTTTGGTTCCTCCAGTATTTGTCTGCATTATGTTGCCACTAGTAGTCAGGTTCATTGCTTTCAGCAATCACAATGCACTGTCAGAGCACAGTGCACTGTGGGTAACGGTGGGGGAACAGACCACCGAACGCCCTTATTGTTTATGTGTTCGGTGAATACACAAACGGTTGATGTTCGAGTCGAAGTTGTGTTTGACTCGAACATCAAGCCCATCACTAGTTTTCTGAATATTTTTTGGCATATCTAGTGCACTATTGTAGCACCCGTCTGTCCTGAAGAAGCAGATTTTTTCTTTGAAATGCATTGATATCAAGAAGACACTTTGCCCAAGCCTCAGAATATTTTACACATATCGCTTAAGGCAGGGGTCCTCAAACGACAGCCCGTGGGCTGGATACGGTCCGCCAAAGCCATTTATCTGGCCCGCCGAGCCAGACAGAAAGTAAAAAAGAAAACGGACAGGCAAATAGCTAGGCTGCTCACTGAGTCCTCAGCCGTGAGGACCCAGTGAGCAGCAGCTTGGAAGTTCCTGACTTCACCTGCTGCAGCCAGAGGAGCAACAGGAGAGGAGGAGAGCACACTAGGCACTAAGTGTGTCAGTGTACAGTGCATTGCGGTGCCCAGTGCATTACTGTGTACAATGCATTCAGGTGTCCAGTGTGTTACAGAGTACAGTGCATTGCAGTGTCCCGTGCATTACGGAGTCCAGTGCATTACAGTGTACAGTGCATTGCGGTGTCAAGTGCGTTTACAGAGTACAGTGCATGGCGGTACCAAGTGTGTTACAGTGTACATGCATGGCGGTACCAAGTGCGTTACAGAGTATAGTGCATTGCGGTGTCCAGTGCGTTACAGTGTACAGTGCATTGCGGTGTCCAGTGCATTACAGTGTACAGTGCATTACAGTGTCCAGTGCATTACAGAGTACAGTGCATTGCAGTGTCCAGTGCGTTACAGTGTACAGTGAATTGCAGTGTCCAGTGCGTTACAGTGTACAGTGCATTGCGGTGTCCAGTGCGTTACAGAGTACAGTGCATTTCAGTGTCCAGTGTGTTACAGTGTACAGTGCATTGTGATGTCCAGTGCGTTACAGAGTACAGTGCATTGAAGCACCAAGTGCATTACAGAGTCCAGTGCATTGCGGTGTTCAGTGCCTTACAGTGTACTGCATTGTGGTGTCCAGTGCATTACAGAGTACAGTGCATTGTGGTGTCCAGTGCGTTACAGTGTACAGTGCATTGTGGTGTCCAGTGTGTTACAGTGTACAGTGCATTGTGGTGTCCAGTGCGTTACAGTGTACAGTGCATTGTGGTGTCCAGCGCGTTACAGAGTACAGTGCATTGCGGTGTCCAGTGCATTACAGTGTACAATGCATTTTAAATATTGTATTTTTTTTTGTGGTTTTTTTTTTTTTTGCAGTACAAATAAGATATGTACAGTGAGCATAGAAATTCATGTTCATAATTTTTTCAAACTATAGTCCGGCCCCCCCCCTACAGTGTGAAGGTCTATGAACTGGCCCCCTGTTTAAAAAGTCTGAGAACCCCTGGCTTAAGGATTGCTATGTGATTAGTTCAAAACAAAAATATAAAAATTATGCGCGCGCTCCTCCTCTTTGTGAATAATGTGAAAAACTATTCTTTTAAATTACAAAAAAATTAATTCATATTTCCAAAAACATTTTTTTTGACATAAACCAAATTAAATCAATATTAAAAAAAAGAAAAAACATGTGATCAACAAAAATTGTGACATCCAGTGCTTATCATATGCAAATCATAAGTCTCTGAATAAATGATGACAATTCCCAGTGATTCAGATCAATAGATATTTCCAGGTGACTTCCTTAGTAAAATTAAGATGTGCGCTCACCTCCAAGATAGCGCACATCTTAATTTTACTAAGGAAGTCACCTGGAAATACCTATTGATCTGAATCACTGGGACTTGTCACCATTTATTCACAGAGACTTATGATTTGCATATGATAAGCACTGGATGTCACAATGTTTCTTGATCACATTTTTTTCTTTTTTTTTAATATTGATTTAATTTGGTTTATGTCAAAAAACTTTTTTTGGAAATATGAATTAATTTTTGGTAATTTAGAAGAATATGCAAAGAAGGGGGCGCAGCGCTAAAGTGCAGTATGTGCATATTTAGAAGAATAGTTTTTCACATTATTCACAAAGAGGAGGAGCGCGGCATCATTTTTATATTTGTTTTGGAATAATTTAACACATACGTATAAAGAGGATGTGTTGTATGTCAGCGCACCTTTAAAAATTGTAGTAGGTGGCTCGCAAGTTATACTCTTGTTTTTTATACTATGTGATTAGGATTTGACAAATTATTTGGGTGTTGAGGTGTTTCCTGTGTCTATATATGAACTGTTATTTATATATTAGAGTGTGTCTTATGTAAGGGTTACACAGTTTTTTATGGTTGAGTATAACCCATATGACTTTAACTGGTGTGTAAAAAATAAAAATATGTTTTTGGTGTAATTGTTTCTGAATGTACCTATAAAGTCTGACTTTTCAGAAAAAATTTTTTTTTAAGAGTAATGTGTGCTTATAGATATTGGTACAGATGTTGCCCTGTTTTTACATTTGGTGCTCCAACATCAGATGGCCTCATTTTATAAGATTTTTGAGGCTCTTTTTTTTATCCATGAAGATTTTGAAAGATTGTTTTGGAGTTTCTGTTCTGACCTACAGTACTGTATGTCTTGATGCCTTGACTTTTGCTTTATTGTTTGATTTATTTTTAAATTCACCTTATACAGATTTCCCTTGCATGGGTAAACTTATAGATTATCAAAAAAAACACAAACATGTTAAACAGAATCAGATTAATTTTATTATTACTAACTTGACAGTATGTAAATGAAAATCAACAGACTTTCTTGCCATTTAACATGATTTTTATGATTCTTGTAGGTCGTCATATAGTAATAAAATACAACAAAAAATTGTAGTCTGATTCGTAACTAGCCACCTCAGGCGTATTCAAGAAGACAGTTCAAATTGCAATTACAATACATAAGAGCTTATTTAGTTGAGTACCAAGGTGTAGCTGGAGCTTAGTGATCTACATTCCTGAGCAGAGATGGGCTTTTCTGAACGAATATCCATATCCCCTTCACCTCTATGGATCTCTTTGGCACAGACACTGGTGCACAGAAGATGCATAAACATGATCTCCTATGACCAGCACTAAGTAATGAAACAAAGCTAATCTAACTTCTCATCAAGTGCAAGTGGTATGAACACATTTAAAAATGTAGAACACAAAGCTACCAATCATATACCAGTTACCTGCATCTAGGTCAGTTAAAAGAAGAATTATGATTGGTTGCAATGGGTTGCAGCACTCTATAAATAGTCAATGTGCTTTGAACTGCTTTAGTGAATAAGCTCATGTTTATTGCTTTGTTATTAGATCTACCCTATTTTCCATAGTAGAATTTGTATTGAAAATTTTAAGGCATACAGGTGAAAAAAAAAAAGAACAGGCTTCTAAGTATCCGCCATCATACAAATATTGTGCAAAGTCAAAATGGCACTTAAAATATATTATCGAGCAAATAAAAACATTAATTCTGAAGGAAACAGCATACAGTAAGATGGGTAGAAGTACCTTCAATTACAGCTCAGCATTAATAAACATATTATGTAGTTTAACAATTTGCAGCTCATCAAACCAGATTATATATACTCTGTCCTATTTTCCATATACTACGATTTCTACAAACAATCTGCAAAATAATTTACCATGCATTGTCAATAAAGAATTACTACTTAAACCCCAAAATCAAATGTACCATACACCATTCATTAGAGAATAAGCATGTCAATGTAAAACATTATTGAATATGAAAGTGTGAAACAGACTGAAGATTATGGGAAGAAATCATTTGCTGGCAGATCCATTTGCTGCTTAGTATACCATAATGCTCCGAACCCTAAAGACAGAAAGGGGGGAAATATTTTTATTTGCATTGTTTTGGATTTAGGCACTATATGTTTTCAGTACAGGCATGTTATAAAGAAGTCTTCATTACCTAATTTCACTTTGCATGTTTTTGATTGCTGTATCTTTTATTGACAATGAAACTAAACCCCTATCTTTACAGCTAAGGAAGCTACCATCTTAGCCTCCGTTTGACCTTCAGATATCTTGGCGCTGCACAAGGGATCAGTTATGACACCAAACGTTTGATGGCTTGACAGTGCAATTAAAGCAGAGTTCCACCCAAAAGGGGAAGTTTCACTTTAAAGATTGGTCCCCCGCTCCCATTAAGGATTGGCACCTTTGGGGAGCGGGTACCCAAAATTGACAGGTACCCTCTCCCACTTTTGCTGCGATAGCCTAGGCGATCGGAAGTGGAAGTTGTCCCCCTACGCTCCCTTCCTGTAGTCTTCTGGGACACGTGACAGGTCCCAGAAGATGACGGGGCCATTCAGGAAGCGCAGTGCTACTCGTGCATGCACGGTGGGCACCCGGCTATGAAGCCGCAAGCTGTCAAGGCCGGGTACCCACTCTGAAGATGCCGGCGCCTGGAATACAGGACGGCCGGTAAAATATATACACTGTGTGTGTGTATATATATATATATATATATATATATAATTATTATTATTATACAGGATTTATATAGTGCCAACAGTTTGCTCAGCGCTTTACAATATAAAGGGAGACAATACAGCAACAATACAGTTCAATACAAGAGGGTTAGGAGGGCCCTGCTCCTAAGAGATATATAGATACAGTTTAAAATCCCTTTTAATGTAAAAATCATATAATTTTATGCTAAAGCCTGGTGCACATGATAAGTTTTTTTTTTTGTTCAACCAAGTGGGCTTAACAATAAAAAACTGAGCAGTTTGCTGTACTAACTATACAATGTTAGTACAGTGATCTCCCTGCTAAGCTATTGTGTTCTGCAAGAGCTGATTGGTGCTGTTTTTCCAGCATACCTATTCGACAGAAGCCGGGTGAGAGGCTGACTTCTGTTGGACAGGTTGCTGTACACACAGGCCAAATGTCGGCCAGTATCTGTTGAGCCGGCCGATATGAAATATTAAGTATTCAATAATTGTAAGTTTTATACACATACCCTTGTCCACTGGTGAGTAGCTCAAATGCCTTATTGATCTGATCCAGTGTCAATTTCGTGCTCACCAAGAAGTTAACATTGATTTTTTTCTTCATGTAATCATCTACAAGCTTTGAGACTTCATCTCCTTTAAAGCCTACAAAATAAAATCAATATTATTAGTATATTTAGATATTCCTTCTGCACCATCCAGATTGCTATTTACAAACTCAGCATCACATCGAACTTTTCACTTTGTCTCAGTCCATTCTTATCCTGGTTAAAGGCAAGGCAAGAATTTCAAAATGTGTACCTTTTGTGGCTAGGCTGGCCCAATATTCATGAATTACAGCTGTCAGCTGGCCCTGACGTTGTCAACTTTTTGTCAATTGAAAAATAAACTGAATGGGGTGGGAGTGTTACTAATGTGACTTAGGTATTTTGAGCATTGGGATACAGAGCCAGGATTTAATTAACATAAAAAAACAAAAATTGTTCTTTACTTTTGGAAAGAAAAGTGTATGTTTTATTTTGAGAATTCAACCTTTCATATAGGTTCTAAAATTATGTTTCTTTTATGAAAAAAAAACACAAATTTCATGAAAAAAGCGATAACTAAGAGAAGGAGGGGATGAAGGATTTAAAGTGATATTAAACCCAAATCCAAAAATATAATATATTGCAACTTACCGATCAGTAAATGTGAGGATGCGCCATTTTTTGATCGGCCAAAGTATCGACACCTTGTGATGCAATTTGCGTCCATACAAAATGTATGGATGAAAAATTGCACCAGAAAGAATAGCATGCGATTTGAACAGGAATGCCATTCCTGCCCAAATCGCACGTGGTTTCTCCACTGCTCCTGTGTGAACCCAGGCTTGTCGTAAAACCTGCCAGCACTGATCCCATGCTGAGCGGAGAGTGGTAGAGAAGGGCATGTGGGAATGTATATCTTGGTGTCAGCCATCAAATGATGGAGGCAGAGACTCCGGATTCTCAGCTGTAGAAGAGAGAAAGCCGCAGGGATTTGAAATCCCCAATGCTTTTTCCCTCCTTGCAAGGATGACAGTACGGGTTTAGGCGGCTTCTGATTGGTCAGCACCGTCATACAGGGTATCGGGAGCATTTTTTAGCACAAATATATCGGTGCATCCCTATTACATATATACATACAAACATGCAAATACACATAGACATACACATATGTACACGTAAAGCAACAGGTGACTCACAGGTAAAATATAGCCATACCTCCAAATATAGATCCTTTCAATGATCGCCCTGTCAGTAGTAAGAGTGGATTAAGGGTAAGATGCTCATTTGGAGATGATAATCCAAGCACTACAGTTACTACTCCGCTACCACAATAAGTGGATTGCAATGCATTCATCTGAAAAATGATTTTTATGACATATGTAGAAGTGTACATACCAAGAACTGCATATGTTATTTACCTTGATTATGTGAAATACTTTCATTTATAATCCCAGGAAAGTAACTGATTACTTTGTAAAAAGTTTTATATTACATTCTATGAAATATATAACATTATTTACTGATCATGAAATTGTACTTTTATGGGGGTCAAACTGTAAAAGTGCACTAAATGTATTCTCTATTAGCAAGCCAATTTACAGTGCTCACTACAGTTTACTTCCACTACTCATTAGTGTCTAGTATTATTATTATACAAGATTTATATAGCTACAATAGTTTGTGCAGTGCTTTACCGCTTTCCTGCCGCCCTATAGCAGAAATACTGTTACAGGGTGGCAGGGGTGTGCAAAGTCAAGTACATATACCTGATTTTGCATTTCAAGGTAGGGGGCGTGCACTACCCGCACCGCTATTTGTGGCCTCGGCTGTCAATCACCGTGTCCCCTGCCGGTGATTACTGGTCGGCACCCAGTGATCGCTGAATATTACTGACTTGAAGAGAACTGTATGTAAACAATACAGCTCTCTCCCCTGTCAGCTCCTGCACACTGCTTTGTAAGGCTCTGCATAGCAAAGCAGTGTGCTTACAGTGGAAAGCACAGACACAGCCTCATATTAAAACACACACACAGCACACAGTTAACCCTTTGATCGCCCAAGATGTTAACCCCTTCCTGCCCATTGTCATTAGTACAGTGTCAGTGCTTTTTATTAGCACTGATCACTGTATTGGTGTCACTGGGGATGTCAGTGACACCAAGTCAGTTCCCCTCAGTGTCAGAATGCCCACCGCAGTCCCACAGTCTCACTATAAGTCGCAGATTGCCGCCATTACTAGAAAAAAAAATCCAGAATATATACCGTCATTTGTAAATGCTATAATTTTCACGTAACCAAATTAATTTACACATATTGGGAGTTTTTTTTTAGCAAAGGCATGTAGCAGAATACATTTTGCCCTAAATTTATGATGAAATCTTATATTTTAAATTTTTTTATTGGACATGTTTAATAGCAAAAAGTAACAAATATTGTTTTTTTTTTCAAAATTGTCAGTATTTTTTTGTTTATAGCGCAAAAAATAAAAAACGCAGAGGCAATCAAATACCAGCAAAAGAAAGCGTTATTTGTGGGGAAAAAAGGACATAAATTTAATTTAGGTGCAGTGTTGCATGACCATGCAATTGTCAGTTAAAATAATGCAGTGCCGTATTGCAAAAAATGGCCTGCTCATGAAGGGGAGTAAATCCTCTGGAGGGCAAGTGGTTAAAGTCATTTTCATGACAAAGAGGGACTTTGCAATTCATTGCAGTTCATCTGATCACTCTTCATAACATTCTGGAGTATATGCAAATTGCCATCATAAAAACTGAGGCAGCGCCTTAATGAGAAAAATGGCCTGGTCAGGAAGGGGGGTAAATCCTCTGGTGGGCAAGTGGTTAAAATATAAATTTTATTTTTTACCCTTTGGTAGACCATTCACATTGATTGCATTGATAGTCTGCCTCAATGTATTACATTCTGTGAATGGAAGAGGAGCAATTGAGTGACAGGTCTCCATTGCCCATTCCAAAGAACGCAGTCCATTGTGCAAGCATAGTAATACAAGCAATATGAATGATAAAGAGGGGAAAAGGAGGTGGGCAAACAGTGCAACTTTTCTCTGTAGCAACAACTGCTGTTATCTCTCATTGTGCTGGAAGAAAACGGATCAGGGCATTATCGGGTGGCTATGAAGAAGGCGCTACAGGAAAGATTTTTACCAGAAGCAGCCATCTGCAGGTAATAGAATATACAGCATTACACGTAACTAATGTGTCTGGTGTTATATACCAAAAACCAGAACCAAACTTCAGATTTAAGACTACAGTTGTGACCAAAATTATTGATGCTGTAAAGGGGTTTAGGGACTATAGTGTACATTTGGAATTGTTTTCAGAATCAAATCCTACAAGGACGTTGTAACTACCCAAATGCAACTAAAATGACATCAATTGTTTATGTAATACAGTAGTAAATGGTTCTTATGTGGTTTCTTCATTGCCACAATTATTCAACCCCTTAAAGACTACCACTCTGAAGAACAGAGGTTCATACAGGTGCTTTCCATCAGGTATTGAAAACACCTGTGGATGTCACCCGAGCAGCATTCAAGCATTAAGCACCAATTAGGCAGCTTTAAAATGACTGTGATACTCAGCTCCTTCTAGACATTTACTGGTGTGGTTACAAACATGGTGAAGGCAAGAGAATGGTCCAGGAAGACAAGAGAAGAGGTGATTTCTTTCACAGGAAGGGCAATGGCTAAAGAAGATTGCAAAGATGTTAAACATACCAAGAGACACCTTAGGAAGCATCATTCGCAAATTCAAGGCAAATGGCACTGTTGAAACGCTACCTGGTCGTGGCGTAGAAAGAAGATGCTGACTTCGACTGCTGTGCGCTACCTGAAGCGTAGAGTGGAGAGAAGTCCCCGTGTGACTGCTGAGGAACTGAGAAAAATTTGTCAGATGTGGGTACAGAAGTTTCAGCCCAGACAATAAGACGCACACTGCGTAATGAAGGCCTCCGTGCCAGAACTCCCAGGCGTACCCCCTTGCTGTCTCCAAAGAATAAGAAGAGTCGACTGCAATGCCAAAAGCCATGTGGACAAACCACAAAAGTTTGTGGGATAGTGTTCTGTGGACTGATGAAACAAAATTAGAACTGTTTGGGCCCATGGATCAACGCTGTTTGGAGGAGGAAGAACAAGGCCTATGATGAAAAGAACACCTTGCCTACTGTGAAGTTGGTAGGGTCAATCATGCTTTGGGGCTGTTTTGCTTCTGCAGGTACAGGGAAGCTTCAGCGTGTGCAAGGTACCATGAATTCTCTTCAGTACCAGGAGATATTGGATGGAAACGTGATGCAGTCCGTCACACACCTGAGGCTTGGGAACGTTGGACCTTTCAACAGGACAATGATCCCAAGCATACCTCCAAGTCCACTAGAGCATGGTTGCAGAGGAAAGGCTGGAACATTTTGGAGTGGCCATCGCAGTCACCAGACTTAAATCCGATTGAGAACCTCTGGTGGGACTTAAAGAAAGCAGTTGCAGTGCGCAAGCACTGAACTGGAGGCCTTTGCCCATGAAGAATGGGCGAAGATACCCGTAGATCGCTGCAAGACACTTGTGTCAAGCTATGCTTCACGTTTAAAAGCTGTTATAACTGTAAAAGGATGCTGTACTAAGTACAAGATTGAATGTCACTTGGGGGTTGAAATAAAACTGATAATGCTGTGAGCACAGAAAAGACATTTGTGGTTACATTATAACTGTTATGTTATATTTGTCTGACCTACAATGCCTCTTTAATGTAAATGTAAGCAAGATGACTGAATGATCAAAAGCAATGTCAAACTGGCCAAAAAAACACTCAATTTCAGTGGGGGTTGAATAATTTTGGTCACAACTGTATATGAAGAGAACTATACATTTTTGATGAGTAATTAATTTTGGCTTAAAAATGTAACTGACAATTCACATTCTGGATTTTTTGCTTTGTAGATTTAAATATATAATAAAATGGTAACATCAGCAAGCTTTAACTTACCATAGTTTCAATGCGTCCAGCACATTCAATGGCAAAATCCACACCTCCATTAGTCTTCTCACAAATAACCTCATAAATTGGTTTATCAAAATCTTTAGGGTTTAGGCATTCTGTGGCTCCCATTTCAATGGCTTTTGGAAATTTTTCTTTGTGAGTTCCAACCCCAATAATACGTGAAGCTCCAGCAGCTTTGCATCCAGCTATGGCTGAGAAGCCAACACCTCCCAATCCAAAAACAGCACAGGTAGAACCTGGAGTTACCTGAAGGAAAAGAAATGCTTAAAGCCTAAATGTAACTTTAAAAAAAACAGAAAGTCAGCACAGGGGACAAAACTAAAGTTGCTTTCACACTAAAGAGTTTTTTTTGAAGCGCTTTTGTGTTAAAAAAAAGTGCAAGAAAAGCTCATAAAAAATGCTTCCCTATGTATGTCTATGTATGTTTTCACACTGGTGTGTTGCGCTTCCGTTACAGTGTAAAAAATCCTTCTGGCAGCATTTTTTGTGCATGTTTGTTCAGTTAAATAAACCACACCAAAAACACCTCTTCCTATTGAAATCAATTCAAAACTCTTCAAAAACGTCTCAAAAATGCACCCGAGAAGAGTTTTTGGTGCAATTTTAAAGTCACTTCCCACACTGAAGAAAAATATATTTGAAATATATTTTTCAAATATTCTTCCTAAATATATTGACATATATTTGAAATACTACAATTTTAGCCATATTCAATATATTTCAAAATATATTTAAATAAATATAGATATATTTATATATGATATATAAAAAACCGCATTTCAACATGCAGTATATATATATATATATATACTGCATGTTTCAATGCGTTTTTTATATATTACAACATATATGAAAAATATGTTTAAAAATATATATTTTTTAAATATATTCTTCAGATTTTTTTTAACATAAAAAAGTAATTTTAACATATATTTTTACATATATTTGTAAATGCATTCCAAAAATGTAGATTTGTATTTTTAAAGACATACAGTATATTTGAAATGTATTTTTAAAAATATTTTTCATATATTTTGTAATAAAAACGCATTTCAACATACAGTGTGTGTGTATATATATGTACCGGTATATATATATATTTATTGAATATATTTTGAAATATATTGAATATGGCCAAAATTGTAGTATTTCAAATATATGTCAATATATTTGTGAAGAATATTTTTAAAATATAGTTCAAATATATTTTTCTTCCATATGGGTTGCCATTTTAAAAATGCACCAAAAGCACGGCAGTGGATCAGTGTGGAAGTAGCCTTACAGTCAGTAGGATTGTCCCTTGTGCTGATTCCTCTTCCATTAGTTAAAATCTTTGTGCTTCATGTCCCCCACCCCCATCCCCTACCTTTATAACTTTCCTGTGTGGCTGGAGTTAATACAACAGCCTGTTAGTTGTATTAAATTCAGGGTTGGAGTCATGAATGGGGGAATATTTCTACAATAGAAGAGGAATCATCACAAGGAACACATCCTACTGGCTGTAAGTTTTGTCTCTTGTGCTTTTTTTTTTTTTTTTTTAATTTTAGCTACACTCAGCTTTAGGCTAGGTTCACATTAATGCAGTACGGTACATTGCATATGATTTGCACAGGAACCGCACCGCATTCCTGTGCAAATCACATGCGATTTGTGTCCGGTGCGATTGGAGCCATACATTTTGTATGGCTCCAATCGCACCACACCTGCACCAAAAAGGTGCAGGACCATTTTTTGGGTCTGCACTAGAATCGGATCGCATGGTAATTCACACCTATGCAATCCAATTCTGCACATCACACCGCGGTTTGTGGAATGATTTAAGGGTGTTGTTAATTTAACATGCACACCCACATCGGTTCACAAGAACAGGGTGCGATTCTGATGCGGTGTGGAATTCACACAGAAAACTGCAAATTCCAAACCGCATCAATGTGAACTCATCCTTAAAGTTACTAAAGCAACTTAATATTAATATCAGTGCTTTCTTGCTTGGGAAGCATGGGCATGGGAAGTTCTATCTATTTTGCATACATTACATTAAAACATCAGGCTTTATTGTGTATTAGTATCATTATAGCCAGCAACAAAGTTACATTCCTAGCAATGTTATGTTTTAAAACATCATTCATACATGACCTTATCACAAAGTGATAAAAAGCAAATGATAAATTAGTTGCTCATCTTTGGGATATTGGTTCAAAACAATTGATTCAAGCTGTGTGAATTGCATTGCCTTTATGGTTTACATATTTCTTAACTTAGACCTAGTATTATCTTTTCAAGTCTGATTAAAAATATATCCAACTACGTACAGCATCGGGTGTTATACAGTATATTTAACTTTTTTTTTTTTATTCAAAAGCTGGCCATGAGCTCCACTCAAGTGACTGTTTTTAGGCTACACTTAAAGAACCATTGAGATTGTCTCCTGAGATGTCATCAATCTGCTGCAAATATGAGGAATTAATTTCCTCAGTGTCCCTAATCCAGTGATCACATACTCAGACTGTACATGGTAATTTTTTAGGAGATTACAGAAAGAGAAGCAACATCAGTTGCTGAGCTGTGTCAGAGAATCTGCATACACACAGCAAAGAATATAAATGCTACATCACAGGATCTATATGTTTGCATTATCCTTGGTACAGTATCTTAGATTCTGACCTTGGATGATGCCTTATCAAAAAAATTTGCCAAAAATGAAGGCCATGTCAGGAGGAGTCCCTTGATCCCTTTTACAGGTGATAAATTCTGGTGCAACCCTAAGTATTATTTAGAATGTATGCACCTAACATAATAAAATATATGTGACACTATGTGCAGTAGGTCTGTTTTAAAAGATCTAGTGCTTAGGGTTTTCCTGTCCAGATAGTGCTTGCTGTAGCCCCAGCTCACATATCTGTTGAAGCAAACCATCCTTGACAGCTTTTACCATGTTGTTCTATTAGTACTCCACATCTTCTTTCTTTTAATACATAATCTATTGTGGCTTTAAGATAACAGCCATTCACAAAAGGGCAAGAGATAGAGAAGTCAAGATAAAGCATACAGGCTAAAGAAAAAGGATTTAAAATCTGAATGCAGATGGTTTTAGGATGGGCTTGCAAATATGAGATATATCAATTCCGAACCCCATTTATGCAAAACAAAGTATCAGATAATACATGCTCACATTATTGCCTATGCTTTCAATAATAAAATGAAAGAGATAATAATTACCTTAGCAGTGTTTACAGCTGCACCATATCCAGTGGCAAATCCACATCCTATAAGGCAACTTTCAAGAGGGGCTTGAGGATTTATTTTGGCAACTGCTATGTCAGCCACAACAGTGTATTCAGTGAAAGTGCTTGTACCCATTAAGTTGTAAATTGGTTTGCCTTTGCATGTAAATCGGCTGGTCATGTCCAGCATCAGCCCTGTTTTTGTACCCATGCTGTTCAATAAAACAATATTAGAATAATAAGATGTAAGCAATTTAAAACATTAGTGCAATGCAATTACAGATTTTGTTCAACTTAAAAAAGACATGGATGCTAAAGCTTTTTTCAATTAACTCATATCATAGTTATAGGTGGAGGTCTAAAACAAAATTAAACTATTAAGGCCCCTTTCACACAACCGTTCTGCGCAGGTCTGCTTGTCAATTTTTCAAGTGGACCTGATCAGATGGTCTATTCATTCCTATGGGCTGTTTACACCCGCCTACCTCCAATCCTGCCCGTTCTAGTAGAAAAGAAAATGGTGGGGATCTGTTCTCCTTCTTGTAAGGCTGCTCTGATCAGAGGTAGTCAGGTGTAAACAGACAGCAGAGTTCGTTTACATCTGACAGCCTATAGAGCAGAGCTAAACTTTCAGGTCCACTCTGTATAAACTGAGCAGATATGGACTTGCTATCTGCCCACTCTGCTCTGATCAGCAAGGGATCTGTAAGAGAATCCCCTGCTGATTGGAACGCAGTCCGCCCTGTATAAGGGGCCTAAAATGACAAGAGTTTTAAAACATTGGGGCTTTAAAGATAATAGAAGCCAACTCTTAGGATGCAGTCAATATTTTAAGTATAATCAGTAAACAGAACTAGAATAATTATTAACTGGCTAAGAAAAAATGGTATGTTAAAAATCATTGGCAGATTTCTAGCTAAATTGGGCAGCACAGTGGCCAAATGGTTAGCACTTTCTCCTGGCAGTACAAGGGTCATTAGTTCTAATCCAACCGATGGCACCACCTGCCTCCGAGGTTTCCTCCGAGTACTCCGGTTTCCTTCCACACTCCAAAGACATACTGGTAGGTTAATTGGATAAATAAATATATTGTTTTGTACCTAATGGATATATTTTTTGAATAAGCACATTTGTAGTTGACAAATGTAAATTGTTGATGATGAATTGTCAAGCAAATTATGCAGCTACAGCATTTTAGATGGCTGACAACTTTATATTTGTACATTCATTTTAGCTAGATGAATCAGCTGTGGCATTTGGAAATCACATCTTTTGGGTTTGCTTTAGTAGTGTTTTATAGAATGACATATGGGAGTCTGTTGAATGTATGGATCATGAACAGCATTGGCTGTGGGTGCAACCAGGAGCAAACACTATAGACACCCTAATGTTACTAGGTAAGTAGAATGCAGCAAGTGCCAAATAATGGTCCATATTATCTTTTATTCTTTATAGCAAAGTCCCAACTAGTAGAAAAGGAATAACCAACACATTCGGGGGCCAAAGCATCCCCCATCATCAGGGCTATAATACAAAAATCTATCTATCTATCTATCTATCTATCTATCTATCTATCTATCTATCTATATTAAAAACTGTATAAATCATATATAAATACACAAAGAAGGGCAGGAAACTCTTCATTATGTTTGAGAGTGAGATCGGCTTTCAAATCTAATCATGTGTATTATGATTGATCTTGCTATTTATCCCTTTCTCTCTATATTTATATTATAGTCTTTTTAAATGGAATTTTTATATATGGATTGTTTGTATATTTTTATAATCATATTGATTTTAGAATGCAGAGCATGTGATTTAGGATGAACGTATTGATTCTACATTTGAATGATAGGAAATAGTATGCTTATCCATTTGAATAATTACTTCTTTGTGTTTTTGTATATGATTTATACACTTTTTACTATTCATATATATTTGTATTATAGCCCTGATGAAGGGGGATGCTTTGGCCCCTGAAATGCAGCGCCATCTGTCCACGCTTCCTAAAATTACATTGTCCTGAAAGCTGAATCCATTTTTGGCATTTTACAGTGTTTACATGTTGGAATTGTGCCAGGAGTGTACACTTCATTGCACAAATGCCAGAGGCAGTGTACAAAAGAGAATGCTAGCAGACAGCTAAAACAGTCTTTTCTACCAAAATATGGACAAATTAGTCCGTGTGAGGCAGGAAACATGCTCTCCCCTGCTCTGACAGATAAAAGGATTCTTTGGACCATTAATAAAAACCACACCTCTGTCAATTATTAGTTATTAGTAAAGGGTTAAAAGTTTTCAAAAGGTTTTCAGTGTTCTTTAGTCTAGGACGTCTAGAGAACAAAACCCTATCTAGGGTTGGAACTGGTTAAGCTAAGCTTTACCCTGTATTTACCCTGGGTGAGACATCCGTCTGCAGAATATATAACCCTCACAAAGTTACTTTACAGTATTTAAAGTGTGGAATGTTTGGAAGGCTAGAAACAGGAGCATGAACATTCTCCAGGATGGCCAACAAGCATCCATTTCAGCTCCTCCCTTTACAATCAAAAGGTCTGCCATGGGTGCCATATGTCTTGATCATGTTTTGCTAAATCTGGAAGTCAAGCTACCCAAACACCAGTGTGGTTCCTATCGCATGGCAATTTTTAATTCTTTCCATTCTATATTCACTGAATTTAACAAGAAACAAGTTGTTTTACTTACCCACACTTTTACTATCATGAGTTCTGAAATAAATGCACATTTTTTTCTATTCTGAATACTAATATATACCAAAAGTCCTTTGATCTAGTTGAAAAGGACCTGAATTTCAAGTGTAAACATACACAGTTCCATGCATAGTCCTATTAGCCAAAATGCAACACACTGCTATAAATAAACCCTTATTTAAACAGCCAAGATTTTTCTGTAGGGCAGTGAGCTGCTACCCACTGGCCGAAAGAAAAAAAAAACTAAAAGGGCATAGCCAGCTTTAGATTTCTGTGCATATTCTAATACATTTTGATCAGTTGTGGACCATCCATGAATTTGCGCCTGTTCACTTTTAGAGTTTAGTTCACCCTAAGTAGAAGTCAAGCATTGTTATGATATAGAGACAGACATGATAATATTAGAACAATTCAAGATAAAACTATACTTCCACAAGTAAAGATATAAAATATGCTTTGTTTTCTCATATAGCTTTCAGGTAGAATAGGTATGATAGGCAAAATACAGTCTTACTCATTTTTATCACAGAAGTTGCTATTTGAACTTTTACAGGCTCTGCAAGATCCACATTGTGGGTACAAAAAGTGGGATTACTTTGTCACCTGTGAACAGAAAAAGAGGAATTAGAAGACATTTTATCTATATAAAGAAAATGAGGTACAAAAAACACAATAACAAACAGGTTTACTATGCAATATGCTGTAAAATACTTTTCTTGTCAATGTTGTTTAAAAAAGCATGGGAATATGGTATTCCTGCTCGTGCATTTTTTATTAACAACATTTATCTTTTTGTCATTCAGCAAGCTTTTATTGATTTTCAAATTTTGAGCAAACAGTACAGTTACAGAAATGGAAAAATAACTTGTACAAAAAGATCACTTTTTGTGGCAAGAAACAGTACAGTAAAACATATCACCTAGATTGTAAGCTCCAAGGAGCAGGGTCCTCGATCCCCTAGTGTATCGCATTGTATTATTGTACTGTCTCATGTATTGTCTCCCATTGTAATGTACAGCGCTGAGCGATCTGTTGGCGCTTTCTAAATACTGTATAATAATAATAATATCACAGTGTACACACAAGTAGATCTGGGCTTAGATTAAAATGAGCATGACAAGAAATAACATTTAAGATACAGGTGTTCCCCCCAAACAGGGAAGCAATGAGCAAAATATATTTTGTAGTTTTACAGAAGAGGGGAGCTCAGATTATAAACCTTACTTCCAGATCCAGTGAGAAAGAAGGGAAAAGAAGGAGGGTGTTCTCTTAGGGCTCATGAGCTTACCACCTCCGGACAAAAGCAATGACTTGGTATTAAAAGAGGGCAGTATGTAGAATTCAATCAATGGTTCCCATATTTTGTCATCTTATCTGTCTGTGTGGCAGTCATTTTCTCAAAGACTAATATTTGTGAAACCTGGTGCTTGACTACAGCCAATGGGACATTTGGGGTTCCCATGTCTTCACAATAACCCTCTTTGCTGTCATGAGAATATAAGTGATAAATCTGAATTGAGTATTATTAGAACATTCCTCAGGTTGTTTGGCCAATACAGCATCATAGGGATTGAAGGATTTACCCATAACCCTGTAGAGCATCTCATAAACTCTGATCCAAAATTGTCATATTTTAGGGCTATACCACCAAATGTATTTGAAAGAACCATCTGCTCGGCAACTTTGAAAGCACTTATGGGATTGGGTTGAGATTGTCTGTCAAATATGCAAAGGGACAAGGTGCCGTTGGAGGAGAACCTTATAATTCCCCTCTAGAGCTAACACATAAGTGGAACTTTTGGCCGCATTCACCCACAGCTCTCCTCTGGGGCATGGTCTCACCATTCCACTTAGCCACACAGGAAGGGCAGAAAGACATTTCTGAAGAGGAAAGCAGTGTTTACACCTTGGCCACCAGGCCTGCATACAATTCATTCTCAAAAGCTGTGTGAGATGGAGATCAGCAATTTTTCGGGTTCAGGTTTGCAGAAAATGTTTAATTTGCAGGTACTGAAACATGTCTCTAGCTTTGAGGCTAGATTATTCCTTAAGAGTCTTAAATGGTAGGATACACGAAGCATTTAAAAATGGATGATTAAATATAAACTTCCCCAGAGCCACTTATGAAACAGAGAAGGGGAGGAAAAACTTGGTGTTACAAGGGGTTTGCCCAGTATGGATATGGTGAGACCACTTTATGCAAAAATTTTAAAGTTATTCCACTCCCTCAAAGAATGCTTCATAATTGGGCAGTAGATCAGTCCCCTTTCCTTACAGTTCAGCCAAAGAAGATTATTTATTGAGATGACAGAGATAGGCTCTCAGAAAGATCCACAGGGCAACTAATTTAGGGGACTGACAAGGTGCCATCTGTGTAAGTTGAGCCACTTGGTAATACTGCTGTACTACAGAAAGGTCTGGGCCACCATGAAGCTTAGATCTATGCAAGATAGTTTTAGCCACTCGAGTAAAAGTACCTTTCAACGATTGTGGAAAATACTTCTCTGCTTGGCATTAAGTTGATGAGGTGGGGTAGGGACAGGTAAAACCCAAGAAGCAAAAACTAACATTTTTGACAATAGTGTCATCTTCACTGCTTTGATCCTACCCAACCAGTAGATATTGTATTTCTACATGAAAGTATTCAAAAAGATAATAGATCAAGCGCTAAATGCAATTATACAATATTAAAAAATAATATATATATATATCTATATATCTATATGAGTAAAAGTATAGCAGCTAGCACTCAGGGTATAGGTAACAGTCCCAGAATTGCAATCTCCAAAATTAGCGCTGCACTATTATTTTGGAGACTACGTGAAAGTATTGGAGCTTTCTCTAACAAGGACTTCCCAGCATTCAGTTCTGTTGCAGGTATAGGCAAGTGCCACTGAGTGCCTTTACTTCATATATTCTAGGATCTTTTAGAATTCTTAAAGTGACTGGGTATTTTTAAGCTCACCTGGTTTTACACAAGTCACTCCCGACCCTATACTTTCAACAACTCCAACTGCTTCATGGCCCAAAATCACTGGAAATTTGGAAGGAATAATTCCTTTCAGTACACTGCTGTCTGATCACAAATACCAGAAGCAAGAATCTGGAAAAATAGGTAAATAGAAACAAAGTTAGCATAAAATAGGCATGACATCATTTAAGGTTGTAATGATCCCGGTATGGGGATATTGTAAGTATTGGGGGGGGGTGGGGAGCGAGAATTGGCCTTGTTCAGAGCTCAGCAAAAAAAAAAAAAAAAATAATTGGATGTCTGATTATACAGCTACTTTAGGTGGTTTGTATGCACACAATGGCTAAAGATTCCAGAAATAATTCTGTGCATACTAAAAATAAATCTAGAAACTCAGTCACTAATATCTCACATAACGTTAATATAATTTCAAAAGTTGTTTTTAAATAATACCTAATGATCTAGCCATGAAGGTCCTTTGTTTAGCCACTTCTTGATGTCTACCAGCTGTCACCTAATTGTGCTCCTGTATTGGCACCCTGTCATAAGCACTCCTGAAGCACTACTAAAAGCAGCAGTTCCAACACATTGAGCACGCATTGTCCACATTTATCACATTTATCAGAAAGATCGTTTAGAGGCCCTTTTCAACCAGGGTGCCCAGGCACTTTGGAATGCCTTCAGGCTTCTTGAGGGATGCCTAGGCAAAATCTAAAAATTGCTCAAAGATTGTATACAAGTCAGTAGACTGATTAAGACTACCTTTTAGTTACGCAAAGCCACAGGTTTTCATTTTTACACCTGTAGCACTACACCTGTAGGAGCTGCTGATAATAGCTGGTTCTTCTCCAATAGTATAGATGCTGTCCACCATTGCAAACACCAGTCCACACACTAGTTTCATTAACTCGGTCTAGGGGGTGTCTTTTTGAAATTTATTGCTTGAAGAACTTTAAATAGGAGAGGGGTTAGGGCATGGGATACTCCAAGGAGCAATCAGCAATAAAAATAGGTGCCAATCTTCTCCCTTGTTTCTCTCTGGTTCTTCACCAATAGTATAGACGCTGTCCACCATTGCAAACACCAGTCCATACACACAGGTTCCATTAACTCCAGTCTAGGGGTGTCTTGAAATTTATTGCTTGAAGAACTTTAAATAGGAGGGGGATTAGGGCATGGGATACCTCAAAGAGCAATAAGCAATCGAAATTAGATGAACTCATTGATGAAGGTCTCACAGCTGTAGACCATAAGGCAATTCTCTGTGACATCTGGTTTCCTTGCACCAGTGCACAACTATTAGTACCTAACGTGATTTCCAGAATGCTGCACAGTAAGGGGTGGACACTTTTCTCTAGGCTCCCACTTCAGGATTCTGTTGAGGAAAGGGGAATGGCCAGTACTCTGAGACCCTATGAGAACAGTCTCAGTCCAAAGCTACTCCTGAGACGTATATTTCTCAAAAGCAGAGTCACCAGGAATCAATTTACTCACAAGTCCTCAAGACAGCTGCTACCTTTCAGCTTCCTCTGGATATGGACTAGTGAGAGAGACAAACCTTCTCCAGACCAGATCCTTTTTGGTGAAATCCTACAGCCACCTCCTCAGAAGATCAAGATAGGCCCTCAGGGTGAGGAGGTACAATCTATCCAGGGCTTCAGACTATTTTACACTTTCCCAGCCACCTTCGGGACACTCCTCTCCAGGGATTGGCTACGGAACCTTAAAATTTTCAGGCTGGTCATTTGCATCTCCCTCCCTATGCTCTGAAGCTTCTTCCAGAGATAGGGGGAAACAATCAAAATTCCAGCCTGTCAAACCCCGAACAGACCAGAACAAACAATCACTGTTCCCTTGACTACCGAAGCAGCCGGAAACTAAACTTGCCTAGCATCCTATGCTAGGAGGGTGCTACACATCATTACAACCTTCTAGCCGCCGGCATTCTAACAACCAAAGATGTCATTGGCTGACAAAAAGGATGTCAGGCGCTTGCACAGTATCCCTGTTTGCCCCTCCTCTGCCCTCTCTGTCAGCACTGGGGTCAAAAAGAGAAATGCTAAAATACTAGTCAGTACAAGCGTGCAAAGGTGTTTGTTTTGGTAGAATAAATCACCTCTAACGTTGGGTGTTCTATGTGTGTGGATGTTGATGCATTATGTAAAACTATTAGCTTAATTTTTTACATTTTATAATTGGATGCCTTGAGATTGTGCAGAATTTTAAAGGGTGCCTTGACTGAAGAAAAGGTTGAGAAACACTAGATTAGAGCAATGATGTGCAGCCAATGCTAAATTGAGTCCATGCCTACAGAAAGTGGCTGAGAGTGCTGATCAGATGCCAATTGGCTGCTAGTTTTCCAGCATGCTCGTTTGACAGAAGCGTGTCGTGAGTTCGGCTTCTGTCAAACAAGGACCTGCACACATGGGCCAAATGTTGCATAGTATTTACTGTACTGGCTGATTTCGGTCAATATTTGGCCTGTGTGTATGGGGCTTAAAGGCCAGTTACGGAAAACCTTCAACAGAGTGAGGTGAGGTACATTAGTTTTTAGAAATGTGTTTAGCTGTGCAGTGCACAGCACCAATGGTTGGATTTTTGCTTAAGTGATATGATATGGAGAATCACATCTTCCCACTTACTCTGAAGAACAAGATATATGTCACTACACGGGTTTATTTATCCTTCCTTACATAATGACCCTTTTCTGAATTCAGAACAGATTTGATATGGACTAGCAGGATAGCAAAACAATAAACGTTGTTTATGTGTTGTTCAGGCTGTTGAAGCATCCATTGTGCCCAGTAAAAAGTGTCACATTATGCTGGTAGCTATGATGTATGTCGTTTTGACAAATTGGTGAATGCATGGACACAGTTTAAAACAACTCTCTCACAAAAATTTAAATCTGAATAACCAATGTACCTGGAAAGAGGCCTGTGGCACAGAACAGTGCTGTACTGAAGAGGGATTGCTAGCTGAAGTCCCTTCAAATACCAACACTTCCAGGAGTGTCAGTCTCCTGTATCCTCTATTGAACTCAATAATTCCCACCACTGAACCCCTATGTCACCACTCCAGGACACAAAAGTGGCATAGGCATTGGCAGAAGGAACCACTGACAGGGCCAGATTTTCTCCATAGTCTATGTAGCCCATGGGCAAGGATGCCAAAGCTGCCAAGAGTGGTGTCGTGCTGCTCATCAAAGCTATTAATTGCTGAAGCCAAGGTGTAAGGGAATTCCCGTGAGATGGCTGCTGAATAGACGTGCGCATGTGCACAGAAATGCACGATCACGCACATGCACGGTGAAGATTGGCGCCAGACAGACTATTTAAAAGGTGCCTCTGCCTGTGCTGAGTGCTGACTGGTCTTCAGCTGTTCCCCATTTTCTGCTCGTTCCTGTGTGATTTCCTTGTTGCTGACCCGGCTTGTTCCTGACCTGACTCTGATTACTCTCCTGCTTGATACTGGTTCCTGACTTCGGCTCTGCTCCTGACTTTGGCTTGCTTCTGATTTGGTACCTCGCTCTCTGCCTGTTGATGACCTCGGCTATTCCTATGACATTGCCCCTATCTCCCATCCCAGCTTCCTGTATTACTCTGGTGCACACTGGTGACCTACCATACCAGCTCTGCATATCACTACTGATCCTGAATCGGAGGTTCATCAGTCTTCCAAAGTCTCCAACTGCAAGAGCTGCAAACAACATCTGCTGGCGCTCTTGTCCCCCTGGTCCCTAGACACCCTCTGTTCCACTTCCAGTGGGGTCAGGGCTAGTGAAACAAGTGAGGCTGACCTCGTCATTTCAGTCTTCAATCAGGTACGTGACACAAGGTTGCTTTTTCAAGTGGTAGTAGTATTAAACTCTTCTTTAATAATTTTACCTACAGGTAAGCTTATAATAAATCTATCACCTAAATGTGAACCATTTAGGAGATATTAACCCTTTTTGATAGCTGGCGCAAGCTCCTTCAGAGCACTGTGCCATGGCCCAGGACTCCCGCGCACATGCTCAGGAGTGACATCATCATGGCTCGGCCAGTCAGCCTGCCAGAGCTCGTGAGCCTGGAAGGAAGACCTGGTGAAGATGGAAGCCCTGGCTGGAGGGCTTTGTTTCAAGGTAAGTCCTTCATAATGTGTTAGTATATAATGCATACTAGCACATTATGCCTTTACCTTGCAGGTTTTTTTTTTCTTTTTGGATGTGGTTTACTTTTGCTTTAAAGGGCTCATATAGCCTAATATCTACCACCCTTACTACTCAAACTTTAGGGAATTATTAGCAGAGGAGGCATAATCTTTGCTAAGTAAACAGCCTTTACTTTGATAGCAAGCTATCCCACCGAATCAGTTTATGTGAGACATCTGCCAACTAACAGTCAGTGGCAGTCATTTTACTATACATAACAATGCTGAGGACATGTAATACATTGGGAACAAAAGAAGTAATAATATGGAATGTCTACACACCCTTGTCATAACCTAAAGCTCTAAAGAATAAGAATTCTTTAAAATAGCATAATGACACACCCATACATTACACTGACCAGCCAGAATGCCATCATGTGCAGGTTTCTGCAGGTAACTGCATAAAAGGATCATGCATCTTGCTTGGCACACTGACATTTGGCACTATGTGTAGTTACAGGTGTGGCAAAGTTATCTTTGTATGCCAATATACATTTTTAATCTTACATACTTTTATTTTATTTTTTTTTTTTCTTACATACTCAAGACATCTAGATATCTGCACTTGAGTTGTCTGGCCTTGCTAACTGCAGTAGCCATGAGGCTACATCAGGTGACTTGCTCACAATTATAATACTGGGCTTGACAATGGACCACATACTGTATAGACAGTCAGTAAGAACAAGCAGTTCTGTTGTCTTTTTACCACACCAATGACTGCCAACCAAAAGCCTACCAAGGGAGCCTGAGGGTATAGTATACAAGCTGTGGCAAATTTAACAAGGCTTTCTCAACATGACAGGTGGCACTGTGCCCCAACCATGTAAGAAAAAAAAAAAAACAGTGTCACTTCCTGAATGCTAGGAAGCCACCATTCTGGCACCCTCTGAAAAGAGATTCACAATGCAACCTCGTGTATAAACCTAGCCTTAGCGTGGATGTAGCACCCTCTAGTGTAGATAGTTTATTTAGTGCAGTTAGAGGCTTGCTAGAAACTGTGAGTCAGAGATTTTACTTCAGGTCATCCTGGAGGGCTCTACAGGTCAGTCCTCTGGTTCTCCCCTCTGCTCTAGAAGCTTGGAGAAGCTTCTAGAAGTCAGTAGGCAGAAGCTAGGAGGAGCTGATCTGTATATTTATGGGAGTATGACCACTCCCAGGCAGGAGGCCTGGCAGTGTGACAGACTGGGCCATAAATATGAAACAGCCTGGTCAGCAAACGAGTCGGGTGGAAGATGGATGGCTGAGATGCTGCTGTGTAGCCTGGAGGGGGCCCCTGAGAAGGGGAGTTCTGCCTCCAGGCTGGAGGTTGGAAGAAGGAGGAAAGCTGAAAGAGGGAGCTCCAGTGCCCTGCAGTCCACCCAGGAAGTACACCCTGCAATGTCTTGAAAAGAACCAGCCCAACGCAATGCCTGAAAGCAGTTCTATCCACAGCTGCAGGACAAGGAGAGTGTGAGTACTTCTACACCCCCAGGGCCTGTACGGGAGAAATCTGCTAGATGTAATTTCTTGGCAAGTCTTCAGGGAGAGTCTAATGCTTACCCAATATCTTGTCCTGTGATCCGTTACTGGTATTTAGTTTACTAAGGGGACCATGAGCTCCTACAAGTTGTTGCTTTGCTGAAAATGCACTCAGGGGACACCGTATTGGGATTACTTTCCTAAAGACTATTGTGGTTCTGGCTGGAACACCTTCTAATATCTGACATTTTGCAGTGTGCTAGAGAAGCAAACTGTTCTTATTTTTTTTTATTCTTCAATCAAATTGGGCATCCCATAACCCCCTTTACTCTGTCCAAGTTGAATTCCCTAATAAATCCTAAAAACCAAGCCCATGGACTGTTTCTTATGTATGCGTGTTGCCTAGCTGTGCAGGAAATAAGGGGGACATAAAGCCAGCGGATCTCAAGGGGCGTAGCGCTAAAAGCAGCATATAAAAAAATGCAAAAAACAGACAAGCTGAAATGTTGTTCATGGCATACAATTAACATCACCAGCTAGACCCCTCCGGTGATGTTAATTATATGCTGTGAACAGCATTGTGGCTTGTCTGTTTTTATGCTGAAGTTTCTCTCTGATCCTGTAAGTACATGTTTATTTTTAATATGCAATATCTTAATGGTATCAAACTATTGTGGCTCCCTTGGTTCTTTTTGGAGGGACATTTCAACATGCCAGCAAGAGAACTATTATTCATTGTGTTGGGGTACACACACACACAAGCGCATACTGATCTCATCTGGTAAGAGGCCATATATTTTTGATGGAGGACACATTATTGACACTCTTGTTTGTGGATTGATTTCCGTCACAGCAGGTGTAAGCTGCTGTAACTTGAACACCGTACCCTTTATAAATAAAGTACTTTTATCTGGAGAATGAGTTGCCAACTCTTCATCTTATACTCCTAATGCGATAAAAATACCACAAATTGTGTGGTACCATGTGTAGGCCAATGTTGGGCTGCAGTATATCTGCTGGAATGAAGGTGGCACTTCTCCAGGCTGGCAGGAGACCACAGAGGACTTATTGGTCCCCTGCTATGGTCTCCAGGCAACCTTCTTGGGGAGGAAGGCATATTTTCTTGAATGCCGAAATCCCACAGGATTTGGGCAGCCATCTTGACAAAGAAGTTCTTAAAGTGATTGTAAACCCTCACCTTATAAAACATCCAATTCAGTTTAAAATGAAAGGCAAAATGTGTGTATAGATATTAATAAACATATACTGTACACTATATTACCAAAAGGATTGGGACAACCATCCAAATTATTGGATTCAGGTGTTCTAATCACCTCCATGGCAACAGGTGTATAAAATCAAGCACTTAGGCATGCAGACTGCTTCTACAAACATTTGTGAAAGAATGGGTTGCTCTTGGGAGCTCAGTGAATTCAAGTATGGAACTGTGATAGGTTGCCACCTGTGCAATATGTCCATCCGTGAAATTTCCTTGCTACTAAATATTCCACGGTCAACTGTTAGTAGTATTATGATAAAGTGGAAGCAACTGCGAACAACAGCAAGTCAGCCAGGAAGTGGTAGGCCACGTAAAATGAAAGAGTGGGGTCAGCGCATGCTGAAGTGCACAGTGCGCAGAAGTCGCCACTGTCTGCACAGTCAATAGTTAAAGACCTCCAAATGTCATGTGGCCTTCATATTAGCACAATAACAGTGTGCAGGGAGCTTCATGGAATGGGTTTCCATTGCTGAGCAGCTGCATCCAAGCCTCATATCACCAAGTGCAATGCAAAGCATAGGATGCAGTGGTGTAAAGCACGCTGCCACTGGACTCTAAGGAGATGTGTTCTCTGGTGTGACCAATCATGCTTCTATGAGTAGTCCTACACCCTCTGGACCAGTTAAGGGAAAAGAGCACTCTGGTGGGAAACATGATTAGCTCCTTACCCTGTTTCATTTAAAGTGGCAGGCACTGGATTCCTTGCCCAGGGATGCCTTCAGCAGCAGGATAAGAAGATGATTATCTGGGGTCTGGAGAGGTACACCAGGAGAGGCTGGAGAGTTTATGTTGTGTAAAGACTTGTACATAGTTGCCAAGGAGTTTTGCCCTTAGTTTGCAGTTCCATTGGGCAACCTATACCCCCCTTACCCCATCCAAGTTTAACACCCCTTAATAAAACAAAAAACCAAGCTCAAGGACTGTTTACTGACTCTGAATGCAAGTCTGTGGGAAATGTATGTTGCCTGGCTGTGCAGGACTATAAGGGGACCCAAATCTTCAGCAACTCCTATTGAGGTAGTGCTACATTTGTAATACTTCCTATGTCTTCAATTGATCTTCCTACAATTGCATGTGCAGCATTTTTTGTTTAGTAAAGCATTAATACACTACAGAGGTTTTTATGCTTCCTTGCTTTTACCGCAAATAACCTTAAAAGAAAAAGCAAAACACACCAGCGGTCGGATATCTGCAAGGAATCTGCAAGGAATTTGGGGAAATCCGCAGTCTGCACGGGAATGCATTCCTTATGCATTCTGTGGTCTAGAAGTGCATGTTATATTACTATTGGAAAGTGCCTTGTTAATAAACACTACCCACCTACAAATGGAACATTCCTTATTCACATATCCTGATGAGAAGTAAACTATCTGCAAGAAATGACTTGGACACAATTGTCTCATTTCTAATAATAATAATTATCCCAGCACCATTTGCTTCAGCCTCAGTGGATATTTGACTGGAGCAGTATGAAGACATAAATATTTTAAAGGTATAGTCTATTTTTCACGAACATGTCTAGGGTTTATGAATGTGCATAGCAAAGTTCATAATTTCAAGTTTAATATTTAATGATACATGTTGAGCAACTGTTTCATCAAAGACTTACCTTAATTCTAACTTCATGGGCTTTTGGTGGAGCCACAGTAATAGTTTCAATGGATAGAGGTTTATGCGGCTCCCAGGCAACAGCTGCCTTACATGTAATATCCTGAGAAGAAGAGCATATAATATTAGACTGCCATTCATACAATTAAAATATAATGAAGTTGTGCTCCCATTTTTATATTTCAACCTTTTTATTCGGAGTACAACAATTTCTCCTATTGGGAGCAAATATACAGCTTATCAGATATCATTAATACTAGATCAGCACATATTGTAGGCATGAGCGAATTGAGAAGACTTGTGAGCTACAAATACCAAGTATCTGTTTGGTTACCTCAGTAAGGATGTCAGTCATAATAAAAACAGAATTAGCAGAAAATTTGTATGTTTATGCCCCCATTTTTAGCATGCTCTAAAACAATTGGTCATAGACTTTTAGAAAATGAGGCAGACATTGAAAGTATAAAGACAAAATGCCTTGGGCACTATGTGCAGAGATACGATACAGACGTAGTGTGCCACAAAGAACTGTGGTTGTGGCCCAATTATGGTAAGTACAGTGTCTTAAAAGAGTATGGTAAATTAAAACTCTTACTCTGCCATAGGCTAAGAGTGTGTAACATACATACTGTAGGGGTCAGGAGTGTGTAAGGCATAAAGCACAAGGGAAAGGAGTGCATGATGCATGATGCGGGGACTAGGAGAATGTTACACACAGAGTCCAGGATCTGGAGTGTGTAATGCACAGAGTGCAGGGGTTAGGAGTGTGTAATGCACAATGTACAAGGCTCAGGAGTATGTAACAAAGTGCAGGAAACACAAGTTTGCAATGCATGGATTGCAGGGATTAGGACTGTGCAGCACATTGTGTACGGTCAAGAATATGTAACGTACAGACCAGTGTACACAGTAGAACTGAAAAATGGCCTCTTCCTGCCAGTACAAATAACCCCCAGTACAGATTTCTTCTTGCCCAGTAGAGACGTTTCCTCCCCTGAACAAACAGTAGACTTTTCCCTCCCAGTACATGCCTCTCCCCGCCAGTAGAGACACAGAGCACAAACCTCCCCAGTACAGATCTTACTCATCCCCCCCCTCAAAATCTACTTCCCAGGCCTCAAATACAGAGCCAGGACACAGCGAGGAGGAAGTCCTCAGAAGTGCCATATGACAAAGCCAAGAAGATTCTTAGGAGGAGCCTAAGGCTCTGTATGGCAGCTTCGCCTGCAGTCAAAACAAGCTAGCGGCACTGCTGTTATACAGTAGGTGGCAGACATTGGTAATAGTGTAAGGTATCTTTTTTTTTTTTGTTAGAGGGTGGTGGATTACTTGAAAAAAATTGTCAGTAACATCAGCTGCAGGGTTTGATAATTTTTGCTGATCCAGGACTTGTTCATTTTCATGAAGGTGAGTTGGTCCACAGTTTTTGGGACATTAATATTAGTCACTCAGACTATCACAAAACATTCTGCTCCCCCCCTCTCAGACAGCACACCTTGGCAATCCAGAAGCTCCAGCCCACACTGTACAGGCCTGCGGTCTAGTATGGACACCCAATAGTACCTAGGACCTCACCTTGAAGAGGGCTTGGATAAGCCCTGGACCCCAAGTGGTTTGCAAACATATGAATTAGGCACTGCCTGTGACTGCTGCCTGCAGCAAGGCCTGTCAGCTTTGGTTTGAAAAATGACTTAAAAGCATCGCTGAAGCAGCCACCACCACATATTCTCCTCCTTTCTGTAATCTGGGAATTGGGGACATGCTGGATATGAGAGGAATCTGCTACTATGTGGGAATACGGCCAAGAAGTTCTTCCACAGAAACTTTTCTTTTACATTTTTTTGCACCCTCTAGTATGATGGCATGATTTCTGCCATATTTCCCTTGTATCAGGGATCCAAACGGATGGATACTCAGTAATAGTCCCTCCCCATTATGGCCTTGTCAGCGTGAATGAGCCAATTCACTATAGAGTCCTCAGTGTTGCTCAATGATTATATACCACCCATGTAAACATGTTGCAGAAGATGCAGTTGGAGAATCTTATGGAGTGAGGGGAGAGGTGGAAAGTGAGAAACGAAGAGGAGGAGAAGTGAGAACCTTCTGCTGCAGATTGAGGTGGGAGCTGCCCAACTTTTCATGTTAACAGGCAGGTGATTGGTTTCTAAGACCGCCCCAAATCCTAGCACCAGATTACTGGCTTGTTAACTAGAAAAGTTGGGCAGCTCCCGTCCTCTGCCTGGACATGCCGTGTCTTCTGCCTTCTACTTGCTGGAAAGGATGAATTCTGTGCCAGCAGCAGGGGAAGGAGGATATCACCCAAGTGAGGACACCCAGGCTGCTGTGGAGCCACAGTCCAGATAGGACTGTCATTCGGTCCGTGTCCGAACCATGGTCTGCTATTTAGTGATGCCTGATATATACTACAAGAATTATAGGTACACATTTAGGAAAAACACTCAATTAAAGTATACTTTTTTTTTTAGTTTTGGTTAGAATGGAGAGGAATTAGAACACCTGTCCAGGTTTTGTTGAAGTCTATGACTCTGTTAAGGAGATTTTCCCTCTCTACTTGTCATGTTTACCATTATCATCAAAAGCAAAAGCCAAAGAAAATCCCAAATGTTGGGTTGTCCCCAGAACAGTAATAGAGTGGAAATCTCCTGATGGGGGCACAAGTTCTGGTGACCCTGGTGACAACCAGGGATTCCCTTACTTTGGAGGGATTTCCTCTCACTTCCTGTTTTGGCTATAGGACAGGAAGTGAAGGGAAATCTCCCCAATGGGACACAGATGGAAACAAAAGCTAACAGAGGTTATAACCCTTCCATACTGTATCCACAATGAAAGCAAAGTTTTGCCTTTAGTTCTAATTTAACATAAACTATAAGGTTATTTCCAAAAACAAATTGTGCACCTTGACATTTCAGCACGAGTTGACATGACAAACATACTGTGTTGATTTTTCTAAAAATTACAGTTTCAGCTGACAAGACACTCTGGACATTACATAGACATAATGAGCAAAGGTACAATTTATATTTTTTATTCAGATATAACTTTGTGATTTCTTTCTCAAAAGGAAAAATGTTTTAAAATTGCTGGCAAATGACATGCCATTAACATCTTGTTTTCTAAAAAAAGAAAGCACACAAACCCCTGCAAGGGTCTGCTATGTATTTTGGCAGGCATTTGGAGGGGCCCATGTGGTTTTTTTTTTGGTTTTATTTTCAAAACCCGGCAATGAGTGTCGTTTGCTGACAATGTAAATATTTAGGTCTCATGCACACAGAACATTTTCGTAACTCTTCTAGAAGCCTTTCCTCCTAGCAGCAACGTTTTTGCAAAAAAAAAAAAAAAAAACCCTGATTTTTGTAAAACTGTGTAAAACGTTTAGATGCGTTTAGCCTCATCAAGCATTTGGGTGTTAATTTATTTCATTGGCCAGAATAAATAATTTATTCTGCACTTTTAAATAAATTAACACTCAAGCGCTAAACACGCCTAGCGTTATTGTGCATTTACACGTGTTTAGAAGCATCAAGTGTTTTTCTACCATCGCTCTGCTGCTGGACACACTGGCAGTGGGCTTTTTTTCTGCCTCTAAGTTCTCCTGCCACTAAAAGTTTATGTGTGCCTGGACACATAGGCTAACATGCAGGGGAGTTTAGAGGCTGGAAAAGCAGCTGTAAAAACATGCAGTGTGCATGAGGCCTTAAACTGTATCATTTTTTTCCTTATAAATGCCATTTTACATCCTACAGCAAAAATGGAAAAAATATGTAGAATACCCTGCAAAATACATAACAGACCCTTTGAGTTTGGTATGGATTTTAAGGGTGCACCTAACACAAAAAAGGCACAAAATCCCCCCTAAAAATCCATACCAGTCCCTTAATCTAAACATGCAGCCTGTTTTGGCAGGAATTGTGTGGGGGGGGGGGGGGGGGAGTGAGTGTGCTTAAAAGGGGAAAGGATTCCTTGTGCAGTCCATAGCTTCTTTAGGAACCAATGACAGTGATAGAATTATGGAACCCTTGGCTCATCCCTACATATGACTATACTTCACAATCTAGAAAACAAATGTGGTAGCACCCAGATATGGCAAAGTTCCCCTTTAAACTGTAACATTTCTAACAGTAATCTGCTTGCAAATTTTGTGGATCATCTTTCCCCCTCCCTTATTTCCTGTGAATAATGTGTTCTGGTTCATAGGTGGTATTTTTATCTGTAGCTGCTGTCCAAGGTTATTCTGGAGAGTTTAGGAAGCCTTCTGATAGTAGTAGAAAGTGAAAGAAGAAATGTATGCCTTGTGCTGTAATCACTGGTATATACGCTTGTAAGAAGTTTTCTTTAACTCACTTAGCAGATGAGAGCATAAGCCATCTGTTGAGTCAAAACAGTGCTGATTTTAATAAATCATTTGTATTCCTCAAGTCCGTGTCCGGAGTTCTCTAGTTTGCAAAAATTGCTACTATACAAACAACATCATCCAATGACAAAACAATTTACTTCAATTATCCAATTATCTCCTTACATTAATATATATTGTATATTCTCTCTATATATACTGTGTATGTATATATATATATATATATATATATATATTCAAAGGCTAAAATGATATGTGCTATAAAACTGTAAATGAGTTTGTAAAAATAGGTAAAATTGTATAACAATCAAGATGTGCATAAAAGGAACGCTCATACAAATACTGAAAAACTCTGTGGAAACCAGCCTACCAAAATAACACTAATCAGCAGCTCAATTTATATTAGCATAGTAACAAACAGAGGGAAAAAAGCGTCTCAAAGACACTTTGGGGTTATTTACTAAAACTGCATGGTGCAAAATCTGGTACAGCTGTGCATAGAATCCAATCAGCTTCCAGGTTTTATTGTCAAAGCTTAAATGAACAAACTGAAGTTAGAAGCGGATTGACTACCATGCACAGCTGCACCATATTCTGTGTGCACCAGGTTTAGTATGTCTACCCCTTTATGTACATCAGTAATGTAATACAATAACAATACTACTACTAATACTACTACTATTATTACTACTATTACTAATAATAAACAATGATAATAATTATTGTGCTTCAATTAATGGCAACGTCCC